AATAATAATAATAATAATAATAATAATAATAATAATAATAATAATAATAATAACAATTTTATAATATAATATTTACGGATATCATAAAAATGGGAGTGAGAGACATCTATAACTGAAATTGGCAATTATTTAGTTGCCAACCCAATAGAATATACTATTTAATAAGAATATTATACCACAGTAAATCACGTACCAGACGTATGTCAAGTAGTCCAGGTGGACCTGCCCGCCGATGTTCGCTATGTAATTGAACAAAATTTGTTGCATCATGAAATGCGAATTCCAGACCCAATATCCGCATAATCCATAAAGCAGCAAAACGTTCAAACACGTAACGCTATAGGTCGTTATTATCCACAACAGTATAATACGATAATTGATGACAATGCCCAGTTTCGTTGTGTTCTCTTCCAAGTCAGCGATCTTTCGATTCAGTTCTGGGATCTCCTTGAAAAAGAAAAGCAACTGAGTGACTTAAAGCGTTGGAACAATGCCGAAATTATTTTAGCGACAGAAAGCGAATTTCCAGACCACCGTGCAAGGGTGCGTTTACGTTGGATCGATCGAAAACGCTTGAAAGACAACGTAGTTTTGGAATCAAGATACTCGAACAGTTTATCTATTCATTCGTTTGTTTCTTTATACGAAAAACTGGGTTTCTAGGATCCTGGGTACGAAAAATGCTTGCCTACTTTAACGACACATGCAAAGCTTACCTTCCAATGGCGGCAGTTGAAGACATGTATGCAGAGGAAGCACACATAGTTGAGGATTCTCAGAAACAAATAAATACTTTGTCCTACTCGCATGTGATCTTCGAAAAACTCGTATAGATACATCGCATACAAAGCATAACATACGGAGAACACTGTGATCCCTTTATAGGAGTGTTTTAACAGGCTCCAAAATTTTGTGTTGGAATCACAGAGCGGTCTTAACGCAGTTATGCGATTCACTGCGATGACAATCCGGGTAGCACTTGCAAAACTAGTTACCTCCATTGGCCGATCTTTCACTTTATTTTTACGTTCAATTTCTCTGCGTCGAAGCCCTCTAGCGACGATAAAATCTTTTTTCAACGATTTTTCATTTCTTCTTAAATCCTTCGCGCTTCTTCGAAATTCTTATTGTTCAGATACCATAAGGTGTTCTCTGATCGAGCAACGACGTGTACAAACGTGTTTGCTTCTTTCCTCGTACTAACACGTGGAAGACGTGAACATCCTGTATACAGGAATCGCATATTCGCATCATTATAAAGAGAGTTCGATGGTGCGTGTGTTCCTGTAACGTTGCACAGGCAATTCATTTGCCTGAAACGTGGCGATCACGAATGTTAAGGAAACACGATGGTTCGTTCGTCGCATTTCAGAATATTGCATTCGCTCCGCGAAATTGCTGGGTAACGTACTCACGGAGCTTATCGTGATCTATCGTCGATTCGTATGTTACGAGTACAAAGCGATTTGTTGGCGATAACTATATTGCACGAGTTTTTAATTCAGCGACGACTGTGGCATGCGAAATTTGTCTTATGAAAAGGTACAATCGATTTCGAAGAGGCGAACAGCGAGGACAGTTTGAAAAATCAGTGTTGCAAGATTAAGAAATGATAAAAAAATAAAATTAATATTTTCGTCGAAAGTATTAATTAAGATAGAAATCTTCATCCTATGTTAAGAAAGTTTACTACTACCAAGAATGTGCACGTGTGTAACACGTTTTTAATTTTTGTTCATAAGTGTACACACACGTATAACATTTATGTATACGAGAATATAATCGTCTTTCTACCTATGCACATTTGTTTAAACGTCAAATTAAAACATCGATGCTTCAAATAAATGTTCGTGCATAAAAACTTGTAACAGTAAAGTGTACAAAATGGATACGCGAATCAGAATCTCCATGTGTAGGATGCATCGAATAATATAATTAAATAATTATATTTATATTATTATATTTGCAAAATTATATAAATATATAATTGTATAATATATAAATACTTATATAAATATTATATTAAATAAATACTATATATATAAATACTTATATAAATATTTATATATATATAAATACTTATATATATATAAATATTATATTAAATAAATACTATATATATAAATACTTATATAAATATTTATATATATATAAATACTTATATATATATAAATATTATATTAAATAAATACTATATATATAAATACTTATATTATACAATATATAAGTATCTCGAGAGAAAATTCGTTGAACGTAATAATTTGGCCAGCGTCTGTAATTATAAATATGATCAAGAACTCGTCAGCAAAGAGTTTAAATTTATTGACACGTTCCCTTCGAATCGGGATGATGGAAACCATCCCCCTCTGGCCGGTTACACGGCGAAGCCGCGTGCCACGCGAAGAGGAGAACGAAGGGTGTTGAGAGGGCCGGGGGTAAAATAACGAACCGTGAACTATCTCATGACACTTGGAACCGCCAGAAACATTAATCAGGTGGTGGTAGTCGATTTGAATGCGGTCTAGATGGTTCGGTTTACCGGCACAGAACTGTAATCAGCGACACGTGACCACTGTTCCCTCCTTGAATCGCGGACATTGCGCAACCTTGATCACTCAGTTATCCACCCTTTGCTCGTCTATTGCGATTCGTCTGAACAATTTGAGCAATTGCAGTGCTCGAGCATAAAAGCCGCCCCCTTCTGTAATAGTTCGAGGTTCTATCCAATGTTTCCTTTTGTGTTGTTACCCGACGGCGATGTTCCCGCGACGCGATAGACACGAACTTTACCTTCTAATTAATGGTTAAATTGTGGACTCAATGGTGGAAAATATACGAAAGATAAAATACGAAATTCAGGTGTACGAAAAATATATTCTGCAAACGTTTAAGAATATTTATTAATCATTGTTTCCTCATAAAATTAATTACATAATTCGCATGATTCTTGAGAAAGTTAGGGGTAGTGAAAGCGTAGGTTAGAAGAATCTTCGCGCGTAACAATAGTAACATAAGTTTTTTAAGTAAATGCGGAGTTTTCATAAATAACTTTGACATAATATGACACGTAAAAGTGCAGACAGGAAGTCAATAAATAAAAAAAAACGGACACAGGTATACTGGTTATTATTACAAAGCTGTACATAGGTTTTGCATGCTGTTCATTATAGTCTCTGCTTAAATAAAGATATTTGTTCATCTATATCCCACGAAAGTATTTTTATAATAATCTTTATAATAACTATAAAATAAAAAGTCTGTTACCGATTATTTAACGATATCGGATATAAAGTGCTGATAAAATGTTAATGTTCTCTGCAGTGCGAAAATGGCAGTGAACGGAATAGTGTAGGAAAGGGAAACGCAGTATGGATTTCCTTGGAGGATCAGGTGTTGAAGGAGGAACATCTGCGCTGATGTTCGCGACATAATAATCTCGTATCCCCTCCAAATTACTGGCTCTACTATATAATCAAGATTATATAAATACGAATATTTAGAAAAGCTGTTGGAAAACACAAATACTTAAACACAGTTAAAATATATTATTGTTAAAATATCCTTCTCTATTTCGATGTGAATATATGCATTTTTATCGTCTGTACGAATGAAACGTGTGATTAGTTAACTTCATTAAATAAATAAATTGAAAAAGGATGCAATTCTTTCTTACTATTGTATTTTCTTCACGCTTTTAATGTTTATGATATTTATGAAAAAATTGATCTACCACGATCTTTATGTGATTTATACTATAAATATAATGTAAGCACAAGTATAAATATAATCTGAATGGCATTCGTGTTGTAAGCATATAATATATAGTCATAAAAATAATATAAAAAGTAGATATTTCTCCTACTATGCATTATCACGTTCTTTTTTCAATATTGAAAGTTTAGTATTTCGAAAATCTATTCCCAAACTCTTACACCTGGATTCAACGAAGTAACTGTGATTTCAAGAATATTATATAGTAGTAAATATTGTATTATATGAAATTACATTAATTATATTCAAATTGAATTATTTTCAATCAGTAATATATATGTTTCTTCCTAATTCGCGCTTAGATTACGCAAAAAAATTGACAATTTGGGAAGAGGAGATACGATTATTCGATTATTCTTGCGACTCATTTTTATAGTTATATATATTATTATTATATATATATTATAATTATGAAAACGAGACGTAAGAGTCGAATAATCGCATCTCCTTTTTCTAAATTGTCCATATTTGTGCGCAGTCTGGGCGCGAATTAGGGAGAAATTAGGGAGAAATTACTGTACTAAGAAATAAAGTACTCTTGTTTCAATTTACGTCATTTTCACTACACGAACCTTTAAGTTTTGCTAAACAAATGCTTCATTTATTAACATGTGCTATCATTGCCCCGTTCTCCTCTGCTAATTGTTAACCCTTTGCAGTCAAACGGTAACTCCGAGGCGCCACTGCAAGTTGCCACACCATTCTTCAACACAGTTCTCGCATCATTAAATTTCTCTGTGTCCAATAAACCGTTCCAAGTGCGAATGTTGAACGAGCAAATGAGCTCGAAATGTTACATGCACAACAGAAAAATAACGATCAAAAGTAGCAATATACTACAGCTCGGTTCTTGCCTTGGTTCCGAGATGAAAATAACTTCGACCGCAAAAAGTGTTAAACAACGATTGAAAGAGAAACAAAGAAAGCGACACGAAACAGGCGACTCCGTCCAAGCACGAGTGTCCAACCTGTACGCGTGCAACCATAAAATTCTTGCGCAAAGGTCGCAGACAGAGGCTAGAATCGAGGTCCAGGAACCCGAGGAGCTCGCATGATCGATAAAATGGTCCACCCACTCGCGTGCTCGCGTGCCAGGTTCCACCGTTTTCGGTGGAACCGACAGAATGGCGGGCGGTTTAGGGCGGTCCCGCAACCCCTGTCCGACGATCCGATTGGCGAGCTTGGGGATGTTGCGAGAGGCAGACGCGCGAACGGGTCGCGAACGACGAAAAGCGATAGAATCTGCGGGGAAGGCGTGGTTCGAGGGTTCGAGGGGTGATCCTGCGGCCAGCGAGGGGTTGCGGCCGGCGAGGGGTTGCAGCCTACCCACGGGAAACTCGGGGATCTTATCAGAAGTGCCGTTGATCTCGCGGAGTATTCGTCCTTGATCCATGGTTCGGCAATTAGGGTTTTGAAACAGTGAGACGGAAACATCGATCGACGTTTGCGGATAAAAAAAAATGGTTCGATAGAAGCGTTTAGGCTACGCAGAGTTCCCCGTCGTACGAAGACTGTGGTTTCGCGAACGAACAAAGTGATCCGAGGAGATGACAGCAGAAACATCGACTACGTCGACGGGGCTAGCCGTGGAGGAGACTTAAATGGCTCCTTGAAGAGGACTGCCGAAACGGGGCGACGATTTCATGGTCAGTGAATTTAATTAACCGCAGCAATTCGATTAATTGGTGACGTACACTTCGGAAATTTCATTTGAAAAATGGGGCTTGGAAAGATTTGAGCACAGAGTACTTGAAACACACACACACACACACACACACACACACACACACACACACACACACACATATATATATATACGCCAAGAAAAGACTTTAAACTTCTGACAGTTTTCCTGTCTGTATTTTAAGTATTTTCGAAAGAATCGATAACATAAATGTGGCACCGCTGATCGGATTTCGTTCTCTCCGTTAAAATATTTACCGGGCGACGCGTCTCGAAAAATTCCGTCCGTGGCTTTTCTCCGCGCAATCCGAACAGAATCGCGTCGATCGCGTCATAAAATGCGGCAAATAATCTAGCGGATCCTCTGAAATATTCAAATAACCGCGACCTGTCCATACAAATCGTCGAATTTATCATAAAAATCAGATCGCGCGAGACAAGGGGATATCCCCGGTTAATAATTGAACGCGAACTCTCCGCATTCACCGCGGAACGGCGACGATTTTTTGAATTATGCAACGCTACCTTTCGTCAGTTGCCATCGAATTGCTTGGAATTTAAGAGCCCGTTGGGGATCGGGGCTATTTCTACTTTAATACGTTTCCGTTCGTCTCCCGATTCTTTGGTCACTTCGATGCTTTATTCATCGGCATGCTGTTTTTGTTCTCCTTTAAAAGACGGCGTTGTTTTTTCTTTTTTGCGAACGCGAAGTACGCCGCGAAGTATAATCAGAAAGTGCTAGCTAATAAGCAATACGTATTTTAGCATATTTTGTTGCAATGACAATGGTTTCGAAACGTTGGTGGTTCGTCGATTTACACGTATCGACAAAAATTAAGAAACATATCGTTAACGTTTGAATAAAATTTGATGTTTTAATAAATATATGTCTTATTAAATTAAAAGTACATAGCACATAGCATAAGAGTAAAATTTGAGATTTTAATAAATACATATACATGTTATTCAATTAAAAGTACATAGCAAATAGCATACGCAAAATTTGATGTTTTAATAAATATATGTCTTATTAAATTAAAAGTACATAGCAAATAGCATACGCAAAATTTGAGATTTTAATAAATATACGTCTTATTCAATTAAAAGTACATAGCAAATAGCATACGCAGAATTTGATGTTTTAATAAATATACGTCNAGCATGTAGCGCATTGTTTATATTGCAATATTATCTTATTTTAGTGAAGAAGACAAATAAAAAGGGTACAAAAGAAATACTATAAACACAGAAATAAAATTATAAAATTATAAAAGAACAAGATTAATATTTTCGTCGACACGAAACAAATTTTTATATTAAAAAATGTTGCGAATAATATGCATCTGTGTAGCAAAAGCATGTAGCGCATTGTTTATATTGCAATATTATCTTATTTTAGTGAAGAAGACAAATAAAAAGGGTACAAAAGAAATACTATAAACACAGAAATAAAATTATAAAATTATAAAAGAACAAGATTAATATTTTCGTCGACACGAAACAAATTTTTATATTAAAAAATGTTGCGAATAATATGCATCTGTGTAGCAAAAGCATGTAGCGCATTGTTTATATTGCAATATTATCTTATTTTAGTGAAGAAGACAAATAAAAAGGGTACAAAAGAAATACTATAAACACAGAAATAAAATTATAAAATTATAAAAGAACAAGATTAATATTTTCGTCGACACGAAACAAATTTTTATATTAAAAAATGTTGCGAATAATATGCATCTGTGTAACATAACAACTTTTGTCGATAAATGTACTTTAGTAAATTTTTCAATACTAGCTACGTACTAAGTTTAATTGCAAACTTATAAATCACACCGAGCTGGACCAAACGACTTGCATTACTTCGTTAGATCTTTTTGCAGAAGATTTTGTCAGTAAACTTCCGACGGATGTTTAAGTACAAATTACTCCGCCGTGCGACGATACAATTTTTCCCCGATTCGATCAAGTTCGAGATAAACAGAAAACAGCACAAACAAAAGAAACACCCTCGGAAAGTAACCCTTTCCGCGTGAACGTCGAAACATCGTGTCGCAAATATTTGATCAGGTTATTATTTTTCGCGGCGGGAACCTCTCGTTCCGAATTCGGATGTGATTCCCGCGGGACTGTCTGACGATTTCAGCCGAAAGCCACGACTGATATTTTCACGCCCGGCGCGCGTGACAAGGGGGTGATAATGCGAATTAAATAATTCCATTACGTTCGTGCTGCATCGAGGCTGTTCGTTCGCAAATAAATACCTGATCTAATTTCGACGATTTTTATTCTTCCAATAAAAATTCATGTCGCGAAGCCGACGTAAATAACTTATTTTATTGCAACGATGTCGAATACGGAACTAAGTACATATCGCGGTTCGATTCTGACAAGATTTATAAATAAATTACTATTTATACAAATTAATTGAATGTAACGTAACACGTGAAAGTACAGACAGAAACTCGATAAGCAAAAAGAGTGGACGTTTTCACTTTACGAGATGTTAACGACAACGAACGATAAATATTCGCAGCAGACTCGATAGCAGAGTTCAAGTTTACCTATTGCAATCACTTTTTTAACTTTATCGAGTAACATAAATTATAATGCAGTTGTAATATAATTTTGTAGGCATTTTTGTAAACAATTTTAAACGCTTAATGAAATGTGTTTGTGAAGGGTTGAAACCGAAGGGTTAAAATTTATTGCAGAAATTAAATCCTTTAGATTCTACAAAGTTATAATGGAATTCGGTTTACAGAAAAGTATTCCAACAAAAAGTGATTTGTAAAGATAATAAAATTATTCTCTTTAAATAAATTCTCTTTGCACTAAGATTTCTATCACAGTNGGAGCACGCTTCGAGTAACGTATAAAAACAATTTCTAGAAGGATCGTGTGCGAGACGATGTGGATTCCAGTGCTCCCATTGGGCTCCGGTCTCCGGAACCGAGGATCCAACCCTGTGCGGGTTAAACCCACAGTTCTCTCTCTCTCTCTCTCTCTCTCTCTCTCTCTCTCTCTCTACGTTGATTAGCACTTCTTTACTCTTAAGATTATTTAAAGGTTATGTTTCTAAGTTATTGAAATTCTAAGTAATCCTTTACAAGCAATGCCCGAATAAATTTCTTAATCCAAGCATATATTACATTAAAAATTGTGGAAAGTCTAAATAAATACAGTTTCGTCATTTAGCGTTAATAATCACCCTAACAGAATGAGAGAATTATTCGTTCCTGCTAAATTCGATTCTTCTGTTATCAAAGTTCGGGGATGAAGGTAAATGAAGGCATAGGAGAAACAAAAATTCTCTCATTCTATTAGGGAGATTATTAACGCTAAATGACGAAACTGTATTTATTTAGATTTTCCATAATTTTTAGTGTAATATATGCTTGGATTGAGAAATTTATTTGGGTATTGCTGGTAAAAGATTACTTAGAATTTCAACAACTTAGAAACATAACCTTTAAATATATTCATATTTAGCAGATCGCGTACAAAATCATGTAATCAACACGAGCGTTGACTCGTTGTTACAGTGCCAAAGGGTTGACAACACTTCTATTCGATCGAATAAAAAAACGATAACCATTTGATGACAAACGATAATCATTTCCCTGTTCAGATGTCACATATTTCACCTTCGATACGTTAAATTTCAGAAGCTGGAAACAATAATGGACGTGCCTCTTGCGATTTTTGTTCTGCGCGAACCGCCGAGCTTCCACGCGAGACGAGGATAATAATAATCAAGGGTGGGATTATCGAGAGACAGGCAGGAATTTGTGCAGGCCACCGTTAAGTTTCCTCTGTCTTTCGAACAAAGAATACAAATGAAGAATTCCATGACGAGCAGTGGACACGGGGTTGTCGTGAACGGGACGGGTGCCCCAGGTGTGGGCACCCTCTCGAGAGAAGAGAGACGTAGACGCAGAAGAGCGACGCAAAAGTATCGAACAGCTCACGCCACACGGTAAGTAAAACACGTATGATGGTGTAGGAACACTGCGAGAAGGTCCGAGCTACCCGAAACTGGACGAATTCCCTGGACGAATTGTTGTATTAGATCCTTGAATTAATTCCCTTCGTTTCTCGATAGAAAAACTCTTACTTATTTCACAAGAACCGCTAATATTTTATTCAAAATATTCCCCTTTAATATCGTTATTTTATTTATATTTATTTATATTCTTCAGTATTGTTGTTTAATATCCGAAATATCGTTCTTTAATAAGAAAAAGCCTCCCCTGACATTTCTGCTCGTGCCTAAAATTGAAATCATTTGATCAGGGTTGAAGAATGTGAAAAATATCATCAAGTATTAGTTAACTAACTGAAATAAACTAGATAAAAGAATAAAAAAATAGAATACGTCTTATTCGATAAATATGAAGTGAATTATGCCCGAGAACGAACCAAAGGCACCGATCACCTAATCGATCACCCCACAGTAACCAACTCCACTCTACCCTAATTTATATATATAAATTCATATCAAATTATCACTTTAAATAGGATTATTTCTGAAGCAACTTTGAAGAATAATTTGAAAATAATATTGCTCATGAAATAATTATGACGAATAATATTGTAATAATAATATTAATAATATTATTATTATATTCATAATATTAATAATAATAATAATAATAATATTAATATATAATAGGATAATTAATATAAATAGGATTATTTCTGAAGCAACTTTGAAGAGTAATTTGAAAATAATATTGCTCAAGAAATAATTATGTCAAATAATATTGTAATAATAATATTAATAATGTTATTATTATATTCATAATATTAATATTAATAATAATAATAATATTAATAATATTAATATATAATAAATATTAATAATAATAATAATAATAATATTAATACATAATAAATATTAATAATAATATAATATTAATATTATGGAACTAGCTAACAAAACATCAATGGCGTATCTATAAAAAGTAATCAATTAGCATCTCCCCCATTAATAACATATAGGAACAAACTAAATAATCCGTCTTTGCAGAGAAAGGGTGAGGGTAGAGGCCTTCAATCTAGCCTTCGCGGAGCTCCGAAAGCTGTTGCCCACACTGCCGCCAGATAAGAAGCTCTCGAAAATCGAGATCCTCCGGCTGGCAATTTGCTACATCGCCTATTTGAATCACGTTCTTGACGCTTGACTCCAGTGGAAAGAAATTCTATTTTTACAGAGCCCGTTCCAAGCGTCGACGCGTCGACTACACACCCACAACCCTTGTACACTAATCACGGAATTGTTGCGTTACACTTGTGTCTCGTGAATGAAATCGGGCCGAGTCTGTCGTCCAATCACGGCGCAGAACTTAGTTGTAGCTCCGTTGTAATATAAAATGTTGCTATGAAATTAATTTATTATACATATATTTCTGTAACGAGAAAACAACGCGGCAAGCAACGAAGCGCACGGAAGCTCAACGATTGTCGCCTGAGACTAATGAAACTAATCCTTTCATTGTTTACGTATTACAGAACCCGTTACGCACACCAGTTTTGACTTTCGATCATTTCATTGGATATCATTCATATTGATATCTTCGATTTCAAACGTAGCTTTTTCGTTGTTGTTTTGTTGCTCGATTACTGCGAATTGCGAGTTACGAACTGCTTAATTATTATTATTATTATTATTATATTTTAATGTTACCAGTACACGGAATCGGCAATCGAATTTGTATATGTTAATCGACTTTGTATAGTTCCTGCGACTGTGTATTAATCACATAAACGAACCATTGCACTGCGCACGTCTGTCGACAATTGCAGAGGATGCGCTCGTTTTGCAACATATTGTTGCTTGAACGATCCGGCGGTAGGATGTTGCCCAGTCTATCGCTGTCCGAAATCAGTCTGGCTCGTTGCGAGACTGTCTGGTCACCGAAACACCATTATTTATTGTACTTCATGAATAAAGCATATGTGATCCTTGGATAAACAAGCGAAACCCAGTGAAATGTCAATTAAACCGCGCAGGTTCCTTTTCACATCTTACGGGATTTTCATAGCTTAAGCTCCGATTATAAATAATTTTTAAAAGGATGCAACGAATGTTACAATTATACAATAATATTTGAAAAATGCGTTCAAATTTTTTAGATAACAACGATCATTCTGTTCGAAGTCAGATCATTCTGTTCGGTGGCAGCGGTTCGAATATTTGAGAAGGAAAAATATATATTACCGCTGATTCAATAATCAATTCTGATTAATCAACTGGCACAGAAAACGCAAGAGATATTTCTTAACAAATATTTCTAACAAACGCTGGCATCGCTTTGAAAGAGAAATTTCACTTTTCGCTGCAAACATAATTATGGTTTACCTCAACGAACGTCTGTTTTACCATCAGAAACCGTGGTTTTTATTGAACAGTGATTTCTAAAATAAGTTTAAACAACTTTAACACGCTCTTTGATCATACACGACATCATCGTTGCAATTGTCTATCATTGTAGGTTCGGAAAATGAGAAAATGACAAAGAAACGAACATGGCGTCCGACAGATATTCCCATTCAACATCCTAAGGCAGGGGTGTCAAACTCGCGGCCCCGAGATGAACATTTTTGATGTCAAGTATCAGGACGTAAACAATAATTTAACTTTATATATGTTTATTACAATGTACTAAGTACTAAGTACTGGTTTGACACTCCTATCCTAAGGGTACTTTCGGACAACCCTGTGCATAGATTATAATAGTAATGGTCTCGTCGATCTGGAGCCGATTTCTGTGTAACAGCGCTCAAGTATAGCTATTCGAAATCGACCAGAAGACTCGACCGGCCCACTTAAATTAATCTTGTTCCGTGAATTAGCGAACCGTCCCAAGTTCGGTACCCCTGGGGATTATCGCGCCCCACGAGAACCTAAATCCTCTATTTCCCCGCGCAGTCCTCGTCGCCTAACTATGTATCCTCTCGCAATCGAACACGGCGTTTTCAGCGTGAAAAATAGTCGATTGTCGAGGTCTCCTCAGTCAACATGAATCACGTTCGACGAGCATGATATTCTTTTTGTAGGCATTAACAGCATTCGAAAACGCATGATTTTTAAATTGTTCCATTACAGGTGTAACCTTTGCCCCGAATAATTTCCTAGAAAACAAAGAAAAATATTTAATGTCTGTCTACATTTACATCAATGCTTAAATATTATTATTATTAATATTATTGTTATCGTTATTATTATTACTATTATTATTATTATTATTATTATTATTATTTGTATTAATTGTCTGGAATTATTACTATTATTACTATTATTATTATCAAAATTGTAGACTCGAAGCAAATATCGATATTATTAGTATTATTATTATTACTATTATTACTATTATTATTACTATTATTATTATTACTATTATTACTATTACTATTATTATTATTATTATTATTATTATTATTATTTATTACGACTATCTATTAACACCCAATCGTCTTAACAGAGCTGCGAATAGACTCGCATAAGCACAATAAAATAAATAAAAACCACGTACATAAAATACAAGAAAAAAGTGCACATAAATTAATAGATGCGTGCGTGTGTGCGAGTGCGATAAAATAATGTACAATTGAATATCAAGCTTCCAACGCTGAACATTATTGAAACGGTCGTAGTTTCTAACGAACTAGCGTTTTGTTTCATCGACTAGAATATTTATAACCGATTACAATCACACGGGAGAATGATTCTGTTCGCTGGAATTTGTTATGTTATTCAATTTTCTTATAGCAGCCTCCTCCTTTTGGCGCGTTCAATCAGTTGGGCGGAGCAAAGATTCGAACGATCGAGTGGGGATAGCGAAGAGGGGAGGGGATAGTCGTTCAGCGACCTTGACAAGTTCCCCGATCGTTACTGGCTATCGTTGAACGGAAAAGGCATTCGATCAGAATTGTCCGAAGAACCAACTTCGCGGATCATTGGTTTCCTTTCTCGTTTCTATCTGTTTTTTTCCTGTCACGCTTTGCGAGTCTCGGACCTGAGAGCCAGCCTTCTATCCACTGGGACTCGTAACAGCGTCCTCGTAATTTCGCTCGATCAAGATACATCCTTATCGAATATCAATTTAACGACGAATTAGATGCAAGCATATCGATGCGAGCATCGATAACGCATGCTCGAAATATCGTCGAAATCGGTTGATTTTGACACGGGCGGTAAACAATAATTGAGCCGTTTATTTTGAAAGTGGCATAAGTCACTTTACCGTAATGAAAAGTGGCGATTTTTTCATGTTTATACGAAATTATTTATGCTGAGAAAAATATCAGTATCCCGAGATAACAAATACAAGCAAATCTTCTCGAAAGTTAGCATCCATATTTTGAAACGTGTTAAAACGCAAACCCTTAAATATATCGACGTAAAAACAAAGTGACTCATGTCACTTTCAAAATAAACGGCTCAATTAAAGATCGCGAGAATCCTAGTTTTCTCCCAATTTCTAACTAGTTGAACTGCGACCATCGAGGCGCAGAATTTAAAGAGACTCCGCGACGAAGTATCAACAGACAGCTGAGATTTTTCTCGTTGAAATGAGTCCAAACACGATACAAATTGGATTACGTTCACCGAAAAGGCTCTTCTTATTAATTAATCCAATTAATGGCGGTGATTCAGTGGGTAGTAATTAATCCGATTTATATCGTGTTTGGACTCGTTTTAATCGGAAAAATCTCAGCTGTCTATCGATGCTACAACACCGAACGCAAGATCAAACATAACTAGAAACAAAATTGTCTGTAATATACGTGTTTCATTCGTCCAGCCGTTGCATCGATGCACATCCGCTCGCCTTTTTCTCGATGCACTAATTTTCTATCTTCGTCCGCTGAGATAAGACCACGCCGAGCTTGAAACACCGTCGCGAAAAAAAGAACAGGGCTGCACAGGTAAACGTAAATTTCAACGTGCGTATTTCCTGTAAATTTAATCGTGCACCACCGTATTCCGCAAACGCAGAACCGCATCTTCGCAACGAAACAGACGTTTTCCACCACGTTTCGCTCGAGGAATTCGTTCGAACACTGCAGATAATGAAATTAACAATCTTGTCCGCGGTTCGTCTTTAGCAAGTCGCGACGTTTTCAAGGAAAGTACCGATGGAAATGCAATGCTGTCAACATTAATGGACGATTCAGGCCAGTCGTTGTTATCGTAAACGTTGTTCCTCTTTTTTTCTAAGCTCTAATGCAATTGCTTTCTTATCGTTGACAGTGCTGCGCGTTGAGCAAGGACAACAACAATTACGCGCGGATATTCACATCTGCACAGTGTGCTCGCGTCTCGGTGGGGTTGGTGGTAACAAAACTCGGTTCTCGTCTCTGGGCGAATCGAACAGAATAATTTGATGGTGCTTAAAAATATAGGATCGCGAGTGAATAGTACGTCCTCGTTTTGGGGATTATCGGGGACATATTTATTTGGCATCGGGGACATTGTTCGAGGGATTCGAGAGACGCGCGTTAATTGAAGCAAGGAAGGAAGATGAAAGCAGAAGGCTCGACGAGGACAGAGAATTTTGACAACGTAACGACGATTGTCGTCATGTTAAATCGCATGATAGGAGTGAGAACGTTCGACCATTCGAACACGCGGCTTTGGTTATTCTTGAGCTTTCTCTATAAAGCAATAATAGTATCGTGCTGTCTTTGTTTCTTATACTTCGATAGTACATACGAGATGACACTTACGTTTAACTATCTAGGACCCGTGGTATACATGACTATGACGATTCTCGGGGTAATGTCCATTATCTCCATGCAGATATTGGGCTGGCAGTACAAAAAGGTAGGTAACCCGCAAGATTGTGCCAAATGCACACAAATATTATTATATTTGATAATATTTGCAATTTTATATATTATTATATATTATCATAATATTATATGTATATATTTTTAGTAATATTATGTATAATTTTATATATAATATTTGACAATCTTTTTTGGCGCTGCTACGTTATTTCTGGCAGGAGATATTCACTGTAGGCAGTGTGAATAACACTTTTTATTATATTATTTTATTATATACGAATTTTAATTCAAGTATATCATTTTGATTGGGAAAAGTAGTATATCGATTTTTTGTGGCACCTCGAAGACGCCGTTCAAGTGTGAAAAGTTGACAGTGATAAGTATGTTATTACCGTGATTAGTGATTATTCGAATAGTACAGCTTATATATGAAATATTTTTTTACAATTGTTACAGTTTCACAATTTCGAAATATTCAAAGTTGAACTTCGAAAGCTCGTCCGTTTGCAAATGAAATCTACTTTTTGGCAAACAAAATTGTAACAATTGTATCGCCACTTTCCAAGTCGTACATTTTTGGAACAATTTGGAAGAATTTACTGTATATTTTCCATTTCCACAGGAAATGTCTCTTTTGAGGAAGAACATCGCTGACACGGAGCAGAGCCTGATGAAACTGAACGTTGCGATCGATCATCGGTACATATACATATGGACTGTCGTAATTTGCATTGTTACTGGCGTGGACGGATTCTTATTCTGTCTGTTTTGTGGGTACATGAGATATTATCAAAAAGAAAATGCGTTAACTTTATTTAGCGACACATTACATAGTATCTTCTTGTACGTTGGAGGAATGGTCGTCTTGGACTTCACGACGCACGTTTGGTACGTGATCGATTTTTGAAATGTATGCGATACATAAATGACGACTTCGAAAGGTTTCTCATGCAAATGGTTCTCTGAGTCTGTCTTTCGGTGATCCGTTTGCGTTTTAATGTCGTACTTAATTTATGCACTTTATTTAAGCACAAATTATTTGACAGGTCATCGTAGTTCTGATTGATATTTCACTTGCATATAAGTGAAATATCAATAATTAATAATAAAATCCTTGTTCATAATGGATTACTGCGGATGTTTATGCAAATGCACATGCTTATAGGAAAGAGATAAATTTATGGGACTTAGAAAAAGAATATATATTCTTTTAAGTCCTTAGAAAAAGAATATATATTCTTTTAAGTCCTTAGAAAAAGAATATATATTCTTATATATAAATTTATGGGAATAGAAAGAATATGTATATATTCTTTTTATAATTCCCATAAATTTATCTCTTTCCTACAAGCATATGCATTTGCATAAACATCCGCAGTAATCCATTATGAACAAGGATTTTCTCTATTTATCGTTCCATTGCAATTCAATTGTTTATGTAGCGGAAAATATAGAATTCCTACAGTGCAGATATTTCTTAAAGTTCAAAATTATGTTTCTGATTGCGATGCAGGATGTACAAGAGAAAATGCAGCATTTAATATTTGATCAATAATATAACAGTTGAATAACTATAATACTTCAATATTTAATGGAATAATAGTTATTTTCTTTTTCTAAGACCCATAAATTTATCTCTTTCCTACAAGCATATGCATTTGCATAAACATCCGCAGTAATCCATTATGAACAAGGATTTTCTCTATTTATCGTTCCATTGCAATTCAATTGTTTATGTAGCGGAAAATATAGAATTCCTACAGTGCAGATATTTCTTAAAGTTCAAAATTATGTTTCTGATTGCGATGCAGGATGTACAAGAGAAAATGCAGCATTTAATATTTGATCAATAATATAACAGTTGAATAACTATAATACTTCAATATTTAATGGAATAATAGTTATTTTCTTTTTCTAAGACCCATAAATTTATCTCTTTCCTACAAGCATATGCATTTGCATAAACATCCGCAGTAATCCATTATGAACAAGGATTTTCTCTATTTATCGTTCCATTGCAATTCAATTGTTTATGTAGCGGAAAATATATAATTCCTACAGTGCAGATATTTCTTAAAGTTCAAAATTATGTTTCTGATTGCGATGCAGCATGTGCAAGAAAATGCAGCATTTAATATTTGATCAATAATATAACAGTTGAATAACTATAATACTTCAATATTTAATGGAATAATAGTTCAATAATATTCAACATTTTCGTATAACAGTTGGCTGAGGAAAAGCTTTAAACAAACGAACGATCTTCTCAAGATGTTCTTCATCGAAGATTGCCCGATAGAAATGGAAGATTGGAATAACAAAATGGTTGCTTCGTGGTTGCAAAGATGTTTAAACGAATGGCGGATCGGACATTTTGTCTGCCGAAACAAAGTCACTCCGTTCAGCGGAACTCGAATCATGGAACAACAGATGTGTACTTTGAATAAGATTAATACTCTTCAACAAATCAGGTATCGAGGTTATGTCATTTGATCCTCGTGCACCGTACAGATCGGATTGGGCCAAAACAAGAATTCGATCGATTCAATCATGTCTTCGTTATTTATACTGTTTACCCGAGGTTTATTAACATTTATGGAAGAATAGTAAATGTAATATACAGGGCGGCCCATAAAATTACGTTAACACTCGGAAAGGGATGACTGTTTTCCGAATGTTATTATCGAAAATGTTTATTTGAAAATAAAAACAATATCGACCAATTTGAAATGAATTATTTCGTTATATAAACTACAAAATAATATGCAACGAAATGATTGTATTTTTAAACCTTCCATCGATTCGCTTTAAGCAAAACTTTGTCTTCTCTCGTCTTGTTTATCAATCGTTCATAACAAATCAACCATTTTGTCTTGCAAAAATGTCAATGGGGATGTCAGTGAAAACCAGATTCTGAGCTAATAATTAAATCTGCATGTACAAATCCGTAAGAAGAAATTCACAGTTATCTGAAATGATTATTTTATATGATTATTTTATATGATTATGAATGAAAAATATGAAATAATAATATTTCAAATAACGTTATTACACATGTCAAGGTTACGAACTGCTCGAGATAAATACGTTTTTGGAAAAGCCAAAGTCAGCCAGCTGACTTGTGGTATCTGAACGGTGCACGAGGAATACAGTCCATTGATTTGTCGACGATTAACCGAAGAACTTGTGTTAATCAAGAATTTTCTTTTCGAAGATACATTCACCTACAGTTGTGCGCGATTACGAAATTGCTGAGCAAGATATTCGACGCTCAAATAATGTTACACTCGATGTTGACTATATATGGCGTTGTCGCAATTTTGTATTATATTTACACAGAATTAGTCATCAACAGTCTGCAGAGCCACAATTCGGTGAATACATTGAGTTGTTATTTGCTTGATACGATGTACGCCTGGCTGAAAGTTGTTGCGACGTGCTACTTCTGCGAGAAGACCGCCAAAGAGGTGAACGAAAAACCAAATTCCGTTGTATCCTTAAGAAAAGAAAATTTTACGATTTTCCAATGTTCAGATTACTAAAAGAATTCGCCCGCATTTTCAGGCAAAGCAGATAGTACATATTATTCACGTGTGCTCCATACACAATTCTGACATCGGGTTGAAAAATGAGGTGGGGATAAAATAATAGTATAAATTTGTATATACATTA